TTTTATACAGGAACTTGTTTATGTAAACGAGTATAATACTTTTGACTTTTTGAGTTTTGACACGTAGGGACATATATATAGGAGAAATAAAATAAGTCGCATATATCGTGTTGTAAAAAGTGCAGATGTATTTACTTGATATCACATTGTGACATTCTTCGCGATAAATGATAGATATCGATGATACGTGACGGATATGTGACGATGTTTATCTTCAAATTGATTAAGGATGATTTTATTAAACATTGTTCTATCATATTATCGATTCAGCATAACAACGAAAAAAAAACGTAGCTTAATAATTAGTTGAATTAACGTTGATCAATTAAATCGATCGTTTTTGCCTCGAAAATATTTTGACGAGATATCGAATAAATAACAAACTTCGAGCACATATGATATATTCGAAATTAAACGAGAAATTATATTTAAAGCAGAGCTTCAGCATAAAAACGAGATGTAACGTTATATTTATAATTATGCTCTTATCGCATTGTCTAGATATATCATTCGTTGTTAAATTCGAACGCGTGTTCGCGTCTCTTTATTTTAGAAGTTGAAAAAAGGCTGCGAGGAAAAACGTAACACTTGAGCATTATTCCATAGAGAACGTAGATTTCACTGCGTTAAGCAAATATTGCATTTAACGGCCGAAGCGGATATGGAGAGCTATACGAGAGTATATAGCCTCGTTATATTTTCGGTATGATACCACTCGTTGGGGTATTCGGAATAACGAAATGCGTCGATGCCAGAATTTGGTATGCAAAGTAAGATGAGGAGAGTAAGGGTCATTTTCGCGCATCTTTATACCGAGATTCTCAGAATAACGGTAATTTGAATAATACAACTTATTGCCAATTTAAATACAGCTATACATTGGTTAAAGAAATTCACAGAGAATTTATTTGGCCACGAATTGGTCGAAACAAACACGTGTCCTTCTACAAAACGTTCGATGTAGGCTTCCTGGAAATCGCTTTCTCTAGTTTCAATATCGAAGTCGACGTATTTCTGCGAATCCTGAAAATCTCAAAGGGGCGAAACATCAGAATTAATATTCCTGTTGTTTATTAATATCAATATGATTACATTAGTACCCTTTACTATGATTATTTGCAACCGAAATTACTGCGATTTTGTCGAGTTTAATCTTCAGCGCTACACGAATTATTTCCATTTTGTCCCGAACAATAAACATACTCTCTAAAACTTTCAGAGTGGAAATTGTCACTCTAAAGAGTGAAATCTCAATCTTGAAGACTGAAAACTCAGTCACTCTTTTCCAAGACTGACTCAATTTTCACTTCAAAACTTGCGAGAGTAATCCGTATTCAAAGTCAGAGACCTTATATTTAAGATTTCCTTAAATTAATCTTTAGATGTTTAGTAATAAAATAATTCGTAGAGCATCTAAAGATAAATTTCAGGAAAAAGCCTTAAATGCAAGGTCTGAAACTATGAATACGGGCATAAAAGAATTCGAGTGATCGATTTGAATATCGGCGGAATATCAGCCGGGGAAAGAAATTCACCAGCACAAGACACACGACCGTGAAAATTGGTGACGCGACGCGTTCCCGAATGTCGAAAACGCTCGTATCCGTTTTCGGCACGGTTGCGACGGAAATCGCTTTCTCTCCAGTAACATCCCGACGCAGTCACACGGACGGACGTTACTGTCGTTGCTCGCGAGCTCGACGTCGCGTAACGTGCGACATACGAACGTGTGACGGCGTTCGGACTGTTCGGAGGAGCGCGACGATGATCGTATGGACATAACAACGGCTGTACGCGAACGTCGCGAACACGGTAAGACAAGATGGCGGCGGCGCAGGCACGCAACTAGCGCATTGTTCACCCCCAACAGACTGCCACTGTTATTCTTTTGTGTCCTGAGACACCCGTGGCGACAAAAATATGTCTAGAAGCTATTTTCATTCCTCCACCAGACTGCGCTGAAACTTTCTCGCTTTCCATCAAATATCAAATACATATCTATTTTCAGTGAAATACTTTCGAGTGAAATAAAAGAGTATACTAATTCAGATCCTAGATAAAACCTAGATGGAATATAATAGTCAAATACGAGAGGTAGAATAAGAATTTTGATAGTGATTTATATTTTCAGTTTTATATTTTGACTTCTATTTTTATGCGTCAATTTTATACTTTGATTTATAATATTCTTGTATGTTTATTTGTCAACTATGACGAGCATTTATACATCTAATAATATATACGTTCTAATAAGCGCATTGAGCACAAGGCACTCATTGTGGACGAAAACTATTTCGACATTGTACGAAGATTTAACGAAAAATCCCGTAGATTTTTTGGAAAATCGTATATATATGGCGATTATAAATCTTCCACGTAAATGAACTAATACTTGATTGGACACAAAAACACAGTTTCAAGTCGGCTTTGTCTTAAAGAATTTGGCGTTTCAAGGAGAAATTATACCTACGTCCTTTATGATCCCAAGAGAAGCGTTTCGTTCCGCTCTCGTTTCGTGAAAATCATTTGTATAAAAGAGAATAACAGAAAATTTCGTAGCAAGAAACCACTTAAAAGATCCTTATTCCTCGGCGACGCCGAATCTACGAAACTACGCTTAGGCGAAAAACGCTTATCCGCCCACATGGCTCATTAATGCGCGCTATCAAGCTCCGGCACGTTTGTTTGATCGTTACTTCCTTGATTAGAGGGAACGTCACGAAGTTAAGCACTTTTATTTTCGTAATAATCCGATTGTCCGTCTTTATTCTCGGTAGAAAGTACCGATGCCCCGGGTAATTGGCTGCCCCTAAACCGTCCCTGAAGCAAGAGAAAAAGAGAGATAGAGAGAGAAGGAGCAAAATGCGTGTGCGCGCGCACGTGAAACGAAGCGAGAGAGGAAGAGAGAGAGAGAGAGAGAGACGGAAAGTGAGGTGAAAACAAAGATGGCAGACAGGATTTGACTCGACGGCGACGGCGGTGGTGGCGCAGAAGGAAGAGAACGAATGACTTACGTAGTAGAGAGGGCAGGAGGGAAAAGAACGAGGGACGAGAGAGAAAGAGAGAGAGAGAGACAGACGGTGCACGACGATCAGGCGAGGAGGGTGGAGCGAGGGGCGAGGGGTGGGGAGGGGAGGGGAAGGGGCAAACGCGGCTCGGGGGTTCGGGTTAGCTCGTTCGACCCGTTATCCCTTCTCCGCCACAGTGTGAGTCCTCCCTACCTGTCCTTGCTTCGATTCGAACGAGTCTTCCGTCCCCCTCCCCCCTTCCGCCCCTCACAATCGAAAGCACGCGCGCGCGCGAACACCCTCCCGTTGTTTCCCCCTCTCTTTTTCCCCCTCCCCGCTTGGCGTCGACCTCACCGCCTGGCGGGCGACGATCGCGATCGCAAACTGCCGCCTCTCTCTCACGTAGACTCGTTCCGCTCCCCTACTTTGGCTTCCCCACCGCGCGGCAAAGAGCGATGCTAGCCAGCGAGCCTCGCTCTGCTCCCGCCACGGTGACGTCACTCTGAGTAGTGTAGTGCAGTGAGAAGGAGCCCAAGTGTTAGCTCCCGTCTGCGTTACATGGCCCGAGTGTGAAGTTGAGAAAAGCGGAGTGAGTTTTAAAACGGAGACGCGAAATCCTAACACGGCAGAAACGCCAGGCCGAAACGAGGGGAAAAAAGAAAAGAAATTAATAAGCGAGTGAGTTTGTTTTCCGATGTGCCCGGCCGGACGTCTCGGCATCGCCGCAATCGCCGCGCGCGTGCACGCGTATAGGTTCGCGCGACGACAACGGGAGTTTTACGCCGCGCGCGCGATCGAGATTATCGAGAATCGCGCGCCGAGATAACTCGATCTTCGCGGCTGTTCGCGGCTCTAGCCGAATATAGTGGTGGTACGACAGATATATATAAAATATATCTGAAAGATAAACGTGATATATACTCGGGTCGCGAAAGTAAATACGTCGGTGATATGTGAAAAGGGAAAAAGGGGGGGGGGCAAAAAAAAAGAAAGGCAATTGTCCCTGCAGTGAATACACTTGGGGGAGCCAAGTTACGGTTTACGTGTACATGCTCTCTCCACGACCACGCGTGCCGCACGTATCCTGTAACATACGTGTGTACGTAGGTAACGCACGCGCGTATATAGCGCGTGTGTATGTGCATAGTACGGTACGTGGGTGTCTTTCGCGCGGGTAAAAAAACCACGAGCATAGGAAGGAGAGGAAGAGGAAAACGGAGAACGCGACAAAGTTCGAATTGATTCGCGTTATCAGCAGTGGGTCACGCGCACGCACACACGCACACGCACGCCGCGGCGCCTAAAGCGCGACCGAGGCTCGTCGACGTCTCGCGTCGCGTCGCTCGTCGCTCGTCGCTGCGACGAGAGAATTTCCGTGTTTCTCGCGTGTGCGCGCGCGCGCACGCGCGCGCGTCTGCAAAGTGACGTGCCGTGACGTGTCGTGCTGTGTCGTGTCGTGCCGTGCCGTGCCGTGTCGTGTCGTGTCGTTTTGCTGTGCCGTCTTGGTGTGCCGGTGCTGTGGTGCCGCTCCAACGGAAACGGAAACGGAGTGGAGCGGAGCGGAGCGGAGCAAAAAACGCGGGTCGTCGCGGGTGCGTCGCGGAGTTATGCCGCGCCGAGATGGATCGGGATCAGATCCCGCGCCCAGCGCGATCCGGGAAGTGGTGGCTAAGTGACGTGTGATCGAAGGAGCGAGGCCGCACAGAAGGTATCTCCATACGCGATACGAGTGATATACGATGTGGTGTTTTTCGGCGACGTTACTACCGATCCTCGCAGTCGTAATCGTCAGTGGCGTCCGCTTTAATCAAGGCTCCTGCTACTCTTTCTCCTCCTCGACCTTCTCCCCCGCGTCGTCCTCGACGTCGGAGCGCGTCGTCGTCGTCGCGGCGCATAAGCCTGAGCCTCGCAACAGCCACGTCGACGTCGCAGTGGGCGTGGACGTCGTTGC